TCTTCTCCGTATAAACGACTATCGGGAAGGCGAGAACGGTACGGAGCTAGGAGGAGCTGCAGGGCTTCGGGGATACGAGTCAATTCCTCCGTGGTGCGGGGTTCGACAGGAATTCTCGTCGCCTTCGATAATAGCAGAAAGGTCCATGAAGGGAAAGGAGTGGTTGGACAAACAGCGGCGGTTCCACGCTCTTTTAAAGGGGAAGGGGACGACAGACGCAAAAAGAATCCGTGAATATCGCTTAAAGATTCCGGCATCACGAACCGGCAATAACAACTGCCTATTTTGGGAACTCCGTACAGGCGGCTGTCTACGCTACAAGTACGCAACGGGTTCACCCTCCGTGGAGCAGGGAACGGGATCAACCGACAAGGAAACTGCGTCCGGTTCATGGTCGAGGTTCGTGACGCGTACGGAAAGCAGAGGCGATGAAGAAAGAACCCCGCCAGGGGGGGCCATCTGAATTTCGGAAAGCGTGGCGACATATTGAGGGGGGACGTCAGCTAGACGGGCGGCCATGGCGAAAATCGTTTCGTGCGCATGATTGAAAACGATTAAAAGATCGTCTTCGGCGCACTCAGCAATAGTGGCGATATCGTCTCCCGCGAAGCCGAAGCGACGAATAAGGCGCATCATGTACAAAAGGCTCGCCACCGACGGGGTCGGCACGCGTTTTCCGACGATGCCGTGTACATCTGGAACAATAGCGCGGCGAATGTACGCCTACGGAATGTCAGGAAGAGTTCATCGGGAGCGCTGCCATGGAATAACGACTCACAAGATAACGCATATACACCGAGGTCTGGTGGCGGATCCACGGGGAATCGCGAGCCGCGGGGGGCGAGCCACGGAATCGATCTCGAACGAGCATGACCTGGTCACGAAGGGGGACGAGAATTTGCTGCGAGAAGTTGGTGACTTCAGGACGGCGCAAATAGCGCACGAGCTCCTCTTCCGTATCAAGATCTATGAAGAAGACCTCGAATTGCGAGCGTGTACGGAAGGAGGCGGGCGCGCCGCGCTGATAATCACGCAACAGGGCAAACCGGAGTGCCATTTCTGGGGCAAAGCAGAGAAGAGGGTATGGGGGAAACAAGCGAGCACAAAGACACGGATTTATATGGCAGCAAACTGCCGTACGCAATGGAGTCACACCAATCGGTTATACATCACAAGATTTCAACGATAAACTCTACTCCGTAGGCTCGGCGTCGTTGCCAGAGGCGGTGAACGTGCTGGAACCGTCCATGTTGTACTCGGGAAATTCCTTGAGCTGCGCGGTGGCCGCTCGCATATAGCTGGCCGTGGTATCGAAGGCCTCGAACGCGCGCAGGACCGAGACCTGTAAACCTCCGTGCGGGCCCTCCTCGTCGAGCTCGAACCCGTATTCAGCAAGAAGAATCCGCAGGATGCGAAACATGTTCGAGCTTTCCCCGGGTACGAGCAATTCGTCGGGATGAACACGAGCGCCGTGAGCACGGGCAAGCCTGGCAAAATGAGGCCGCGATGCATAAATTACCCTCTACGGGGAGGTTCGAATATCAGCACTAGGCCACGGGCTGGAGTACGGAGGCAATCGTACCAGTTGCTCGAGGACGCGACCGAGCGCCGTACGGACTGCTGCACGATCATCCACGGAGAGCGCAGGTAGCGGCACGGAAAGGCGAAATTCCGGATCGACAGCGAGCTGGACAAAGAAGATCTGGGCACGGATGAAGTAGCGAAGTAGGTCTTTCATGGAGTGGCGCGGGCGGTAAAACCCATCGGCGTGCTTCCAGGAGGGGATTTCGACTCTCGCGCAGTTCGAGCGAAGGCGCTGGCCTACGGAGATGTTGTCATATGCTAGCAGATGAGCGTCGAGGTCTCTGAGCCAAGAGGGGAGCTCGAAAGACGCTCGAGTTATCGACGCCATGGCTTAGGGGGGGAAAACGCAGATCCATCTATCAATCCACGGCTCCTTAAGTGGTGCACGGGTGGGCCGGCTCACGAAGCGATCAAACTGGTTCGGTTCGCCGGAAGAGCGCAACGATATTTCAAATTACTACGAAGCGCGACATAACGATGATTACGACGAGGAGGGATCGACCCAGCCGGTATTAGTCGGTCTGCGCATCATGCGCCCGGAGCGTTCGAACTCGGGGTATTCACCACGCGTACCCAACAGCGCGGCCCAGCAGGTGGCCACGCGTTTTAAATGTTCGAGCGCAGCGCTCATATGCGCACCGCCTTCGCTATTTTCCCCTTCGAAACCATAAATTTCGACCATATGATCGAGGATTTCGAACTGGCCCATCGATAAATCAGACACCGGTGGTTCTTCCGGGATCAGATGCACCGCGGAGATGCCATCCCACAGGGCAACATAGGATGGATATTCGGGGTCCGTGAGCGAAATCAGGTGCTAAAGGAGTCGCAAAAAAAGGGGGCAGAATTAGGCTCGACTTCCGCACGGAGGAGACGATGAGCATACCACTAGCTCCATCATTTTCCGCAGGGTAGCCTGGACGACACGGGTCGTGGTGTACGGAAATTGAAAGCTGCCATATCTCGTGCGATGGAAGGAAGGATCCAGCGCTTGCTGAAGGACAAATACGGCGGGGCGGAGAACCTGGTGCAGTATGTTGGAAATGGGGATCGGTGGACGCCAGTTCGAGCCAAGGGCATATTCCGTGTCGCTAATCTCGAGCGGCCGAATGAGTGCGCAGGCTTGCTCCACTTTCACTGCGAGGGCACGCCCTGCAGGGCTCCCAATGACGCTGAGGAGGTCGCTGCGTGGAGAATCGGGCGGAGACGGGGTCTGCGCCATGGACACAAGAATAGCGAAAATCGATGATGGGACGCGACCCGTATTTATGCTCTTAGCGCAAGCGGACAAGCGTACGGAGCACGCGTCTACGGAAACATCCGCGGAGAACACATCATATTAACCGACAAATCGACCGCTAAAGTCCCAGCACAATATCTTCCGGGCTACCAGTAATAAAGGCCGTGAAGTCCTCCACGGGTTCAACGAGGTGCCATGCTCGTGCCAGCAGTATGGCACGGCTCAGATTAAGCGAGACCGCCGAAGGAGCGAGCCGTGTAGAAGACTCGGGCAGATAAACTGCGTGCATTTCGTTAAGCCTATCCAATCCACGGAGGCAGGCGCCACGGAACGCTACGTAGCAACGAAACCCTTCCTGCGCGTTCCCGATATGTTCGTCACTGGGAAAGTGGCCGCCTTCTTCGAGCAGATGAAACTGCAGGAGCTATACTAAGCACGGACTAGTGCACGGAACAAGAACGGAAGACTCGCCAGAATGCCCATTATATTCGCCAGCGCGTCATGAACAAAGATTAACTCCAGCATGGTCAGTTCATACGGCGCCAGCCAGCCACGATTCGCGGGCCGTAGAGCGCAATCCAGCAGATAAATCGACGGGCGAACGATGCACTCCATAACGTCGTCCAGCTGTTCGCACTCGGGATGTCCTGGGCTAAACCGCACGCCCGTGGCGAGCGAATGTTCAATAATCAACTCGCACGCATCCACAATTCCGTAGAAGTCTGCACTTAGGCGCACGCGGGGGGGCATGGGTAAAGACATAACGCGAGGACATACATGCGACTACGGCGAGCCTTTTATACGGGAAATGTTAAGTGATCCGAGCGCATGGATCTCAGCTCCGAAGAGGACAGCATCACAATACTCCATTCCGTGGCTTCTCGTCCACAGGTTTCTTCATCCGTGCACAAAGTAGGGCAAGGGCTTCCGGGTATAATGCCTGGAGGTCCTCCTTGCAAACAGTCAGCGGTATGGGACCTCGCCGGCGGAGACTGTACCATGTCTGCCAGCAAACCTTCCACACTCTCTCTCTGGACCCCGATTACCTTTCCATCTCTATCCGTTTCGACAACGAGCGCTCCTTCCACGCGAGAAAGCGCCAGCAAAGTGGCTTCGATAACTCGCTGCGCGTCCGTCCAGAGGGGGGTAGTGGCCTTCACGGAAAAATCAAGCACGGGGTTGTCGTTGATAGGAATACGTTTGAAATTCCGTGGGGGCTGCCGAGAAGGAAACACCACCTCGATAGTACGGTGCGGGTCGTACTCCTCGTACTCAAGGAATATTGGATCCTTGGAGATACGAAAGAGCGCAACGGATTCCGCGCACTCCTTCAAAAAGAACTCCACTTGCGAAATCGCTAGGCCGAATACACTGACTCCGTGGATGTCAGGCGCGTCGTCTCCGTCAAATCCAACCGCGTAAAGGAGTACGGAGATCAAGTAAAACATCCACGTCGATTGAGGCGGGGTGTTATGGCGACTGAAGTTGGACCGCAGCTCATTCTGGCGAAGCCGTGCGGCATAATACTAGGAAGCAACAGTTAAACACCATCGCCTGAATATCCGGACAGCTTCGCCTACCATGTGGTCTACAATTAGACGTACGCAGACGCGCACTTCATGAAGATCCTTCGTGGTCAGTGAAGGACGCGTACGCGTGGCCCAACGGTCCTCCAGCACGGAAATCGCCACAAGGAACACCTTGAACCGGAGGTTGCGATAAAGGAACTCCGCCAGGCCGCCAATCGGGACGTCAAGGCTTTCCGCAGGAAGGGGATGAATTGTAGAATGGAAGCGACCAATGGCAGAGGCATCCATCTTCAGAAAAAGTTCTGATTCTCGACCTACGGATGGGTCATATTTATACGTGGCGCCAACCGGGGACGGTCGGCATTCAAAAGTGGGGAGGAGATGTGAGCTAGCACTTTGTGATACGCTCCCTCCGTGGCTGAAAAAGGCAAATACGCACTACGGAGCACGCACGGGAAAAGGGGCACGCACAGGAAAAAAGGTTGCAAAAAACGACCTGACCCCGATTCGAACGAGGGCCTCGCAATTGTAATCAGAAGAGAGTTGACTTGCAAATGCGCGCGTTACCGTTACGCCACCAGGTCTACGCTACAAGACGTCGAAAAGGTGTCGACCCACGGTTGATTCTCTCCTGTGGAAGCAAAAAACGACCCGACCCCGAATCGAACGAGGGACTCGCAGTATAGTGCAATATTGTAGAAGTAGACTACAAATGCGCGCGTTACCGTTACGCCACCAGGTCTACACTACAAGACGTCAAAGAAAAGGTGTCGACCCACGGTTGATGCTCTCCTGCGGGGAAAAAGGTACATGGCCTGACCTCGAATCGAACGAGGGTCTCGCAATTGTAATATCGCGGAAAAGTGGAACTCGAGTGCGCGCGTTACCAGTTACGCCACCAGGCCTACCACCAAATAAATCCCCGAAGCACCACGGACCTCACGAAAATTAACAAATCGACATGACGCATACGCAGAACACGGAAGAGGTACTACACGGGGTACGGAAAGTGTCGCCACGCGGTACATATCAAGCTACGGAAGGAGGTGTGAGCTACGGAGTACGGAAATTGGGCGCACGGGCAGCAACGTTACGGTCCGTGGGTTAGGTATCTCCTTCAAGCGCACGGGAGAGCATGGAGATCCTCGCCGCGAGGCAAGGAGGGCAGTGTTGAAAGGGGTCCGTGGACGAATGAGGAACAAGGTCGCGCGCGGCGGTCGGAAAGAAATTAGTATAAAAGCAGGGACGTCCGTAGAAGAATGCATCTTATTACCTCCCACTGCTCATACCTAAGCTACTCCCCCTCGATCATACGGGGTGAGAATCTAGTCAAAATACATACTCGCTCAGGTTGCGCCGCCCTCCGTGGGATCAACCAAGGTCAAATTGGGCCAAAGCTTCAATCAAGGAGGCTTGTCCGTAGTACTTCCAGCTCAATAGAACGAGCCAGAAGGAATTATAGAAAACATCGGCGTTGATAGCTCGCGTGGTTGTAGTACGCGCGGCGAAACTTCCAAACGGCCAGCAGCCCAACTTAGCAGCGTGTAACCGTTGGCTTGGGCCTCGAACGCAGATCCGTGCGCGGAGTACCACCCCCATCGTCGCGGAAGGCTTATCCAATTCGATTATAACCACTTCACGATTCATTCTCACCACTTCGCCTCACACACGCCCACGGAATTGACACACCTTGGCCGTACCACCACAGCGTAGAGAAAAAGCCGGGTTACGAAGGACTACGCTATAACCCGTACGCGTTGTGTTCAAACAGTTCTGAAGATACTGCTTGCCCAACCTATACGAGGCAAGGGGATAAGAAAAGGAACCATATAGCCCAGGCATCTCGACACGGAACGGCGTTCATCTTGCGGAGCGTTGCCCCTTCGCGCAAGTGTAGAAAACCCTCCGATCGAAGCTTTCCTGGAAGGCTAGCCCCCCAACGAGGAAATAAATCCTCGAGGAACCTAGCGAGACTGTTCATTCCGTACGGAAGGAACTGTACCACCACCACCACCATTTAAAAATACATAACATTGCGTGTACTACAGTAGCAGACGAATCTCCGCGACAGAGAAATTTCCCTCTAGAGGACGAACTAATTTCGTGCTTTTTGCCTGACTATACCACACCCGGTCAGACAATTCACGGAACCGCAGTCCGTATCACACCGCGAATAGGGACGAGTTCGGCCAGTACCCTCGGGATTTCCAGCGAATCGCAGACTTCCTGAAGGCCAAGGGAAAAATATCTGACAGAGAGGTCAACGAGTACTTTATGAAGGGTATTCACCCGGACTTCCGTCTCAGAGTGTTAGGAAGACTCCAAGTCGTACGGAGCGCGCAGCCCAGCGATGAACCATATCCCATGGTGGACGTAATCGAGGCCACGGAATGGGCTATCAACGGTGTTCCTGGTGCGCTGTACAAAGAATCAGACGAAGACAGCACATACATTAAAAAGGAGATGGTGGAGCTCACAACAGCCATGCGCGACATGAACCAGACATTTACGGCTCAGATACAGTCGCTCTCCAGGAAAATCGAAACAGGGCCGCCACGGGCCAACAATCCTCCACGGAATCGTGCCCCTGCATACCAGAATCAAGTACAAACCGCGCCAGGTTGGAACCGAGAGGCTGCGCCACCGTTGCCTGTGCAGAACCAGGCCTATCAGGACGCGCAGAGAACGGGGCCAGGGAATAATCCTGGTGGAGGCTTTCCGCAGGGAAAATGCGGAGGCTGCGGCGAAGCGGGGCATTATTTGAGGGAGTGCCCGAAGATTGAAGAGTACATTCGGTCTGGGAAGTGCAAAAAGAACGAGGAGAACCGTATCGCGCTACCTGGAGGGAATTATATTCCACGGTACATCACGGGGAACTCGTTTGTCGAAAGAATCGACAAATGGCACGCACAGCAGCAAACTCCTGCTCAAGTCAACCTTTATACTCGGGACTCCCCACCTCACATGCTATACATGGCTACCTCGTCGAACGCGGAAGAAGTAGATGAATGGGAAGCCACGGAAACTCTTGCGTACGAGGTTGGCGAAATCTCGATCAACGAACTAGAGAACGAGGATATCGAGGCCTTTCTCGAAACGCGCAAGCGTACGGAGCGGGCCAAGCCCAAGGAGGTGTTCGATGGAGTACTTTTGCCTCCTAAACCTCCACCGGCGCCGAAAAAGAAAGTTGCTTTCACGCCCGATACGGTACCACCTCCTCAGCCGAAATCCGTACCCAAAAGCTCCGTAGTCATCAGACCAGCAGCCGTGTTGGAGGAACCTACGTTCAGCATAAACCCGTCAAAGCCATTCATTCAAAGATACAGGGCACCGATTGAGGACTTTATCAATACGGGAGAAATGGTTAACCGTGCGATGGCGACCAAATTCGAGATTACTCCGCAGGAGTTCTTTGCGATATTCCCGGAAGGTAGGAAGTACATGAAAGATTTACTAACTGCCAAAAAGGTACCAACAGTGGGCGTGACTTACTCAGAGGCGGCGAGGGAAACCCAATACGTTCTACGATACGAGGAGAAAGGAGGCGAAGTCCGTGAAGATAAACTCACTTCATCAGAAATCGACGCGCTGAGGGTCGTTGACCCTGTCCTAGACGACACGCTTCAGGTTGAGGCGGTGTTGGACCAGGGCTCGGAGATAATTGCCATGAATAAAGATTTGTGGCTCAAGCTCGGCGTTGGGTTGGACCCGCAGAAGATATTGAACATGCAGTCGGCGAACTCCCAATCGAACGCTACGGCAGGCGTTATATCAGACTATAAAATCACCATTGGGGGACTGGACTTAGGCTTCCAAGTTCACGTTGTCCAAGGAGCGCCATTCGACTTACTCCTGGGTCGGTCGTTCTTCCGATTCACGGGTTGCGTAACCACGGACGATACGGACGGGAGCCAGCAAATTACGCTCACTTGCCCAAACACGGGCAAGAGGGTCACTATCCCTACGCGCAAGAAGACGAATAAAAGCCGTAACCCGTTCAGGCAGGAGATACCTGCGGACCTGGGTTTTCAAGGCGCGGGGCAGTCCCAATAAGTGCTGTCTCCGCGGAAGAAATCCAGTCCAGGTTCAACCAAGTCTCCACGGGCTCCATGCATCTGAAATACCGACCACTACCTCCGTACGCTTCCCGACAATGGAAGCGCGCGCACATCCAGCAAACCATACCATCGTTTAATTTAACTCGACTCTCTTCTCCACTTGTACTATACCCCCCCGAAGGAACGAACACGCACCACGTCCGTGCCGTGGAAATCACGGACACGGAACAGGTCTGGGAGATATCTCCCGTTTACATGCAATACTGCTTGATGCAGAGTTACGAATATGATGAAACAATACACGCCTTCACCGTGAAGGTCACGGAAGGCGAGGCTACGGAACAACCAGAGAAGAAGGAAAAGAAGAGGAAGAAGAAGTATAAACCAGCGGCAAAGAAAGTGCATTCCGTGGCGGCTAGCCTGCCGGAAGAGTTTAGGGTCGTACGGAAATACCCGTCAGATCCCTTGAAAAATATGCCTCCTCTAAATCCCAACCCGCCTCCGTTCACGCCAGGAAAAAGGCTTACGCAGGAAAGACTGGATGCCATGAACCTAAACCCAGACGGGTTCTTGTGGCCGGAAGAGGAACGACTAGTGATAGACGTTCTCAGAAATCACGAAATGGCCTTCGCTTGGGATGATTCCGAGCGAGGATGTTTCAGGGAGGATTATTTTGAACCAGTAAAACTCCCTGTACTGGCACACACCCCCTGGCAACAGAAAAACATACCCATTCCGCCAGGGATACGCGACCAGGTGGTCAAAATACTCAAAGCTAAAATCGCATCCGGCGTATACGAACCTTCCTCGTCCTCCTACCGATCTAGCTGGTTCTGTGTACCAAAAGCAGAGAAAGGAGCGCTACAGATAGTTCACACTCTCCAACCGTTGAACACCATGACCATAAAAGACGCAGGATGCCCGCCAATTCTGGAGTTATATGCGGAGTCATTCGGCGGACGGGTCTTCTACAGAATGTTCGACTTATTTGTCGGGTTTGACCACAGGGTGCTCGATATTGCTTCAAGAGACTTTACCACCTTCCAGTCGCCATTGGGAACGCTACGGCTCACCAGGCTTCCGCAAGGCTACACGAACGCTGTACAAATTCAGCAAGGAGACATAGCGTTCATTCTAAGGGAGGAAATTCCGCATGTCACTCAACCCTTCGTCGACGACACTCCAATAAAGGGCGGAGATGACTATTACATACAGGAGAATGGAAGTTACGAGACGATAGAGCCAAATCCTGGCATACGGAGATTCGTTTGGGAACACATGGAGAATACGAATCGCCTACTTCAGCGTATGGGGCACGCAGAAGGGACCTTCAACGCCAAGAAAACAAGCATGGCGGTCGCGCGAATCAGAGTGGTCGGGCACGTCTGCTCGTACTTAGGCCGTACGCCAGACGAGTCCAAAGTACAGGTCATACGGGACTGGCCGAACTGCGAGTCGCTCACGGAAGTCCGTACCTTCCTGGGCACGCTAGGGTTGATGCGAATATTTATGAAGGATTTCGCTCTACACGCCCGCCCTCTGGTCAGGCTCACAAAGAAAGAAGTGGAGTTCACGTTCGGACCCGACGAGAAATATTCGATGGAGATATTGAAGAAGATCCTCATAGAATGCCCAGCTATTCGACAAATCGACTACGGATGGGGTCGCTTCATTATTCTTTCCG